AACTTCGCTTACTCTAAATTACATAATATTACACCATAATTTTGTTTTTACTATTCAGCCTTAATTTTTTACATTCATGATATTGTTTTAATTTCTTTATGAATCTATACCCTGATCACAGCGTAAATTCAATTAAATTAATGAATAACTTTATTTATATTTTATACCTGTCGCATCAKTTTYTGGTTTTATATAGTTGGTGAAATGATGAAAATGCATATTTATACCAAGCATGTAATAACTAAAATAAGTAATAATTAATTGGTGTACCACTGTTGTATGTTTAAAAAATATTGATAGTTTGCATAAATGTGTTTTTATCAACAACTGCTAATATATAAATAAAATATTAATTAATTAATAAATACTGWAAATAAATTATATTTTAGACTGAACAATAATAACGTATCAAAAAAGTCATGGGATATCAATCGATTAAACGAATTATCCAAGCCCAGAATCGATTATTACGAATACACGTGAGTACATAATGACCCAAATTATATTGATATAATATTATGTAGGTAATATGGGCATAATATATTATTCCATATTACGGGTAAAATCGATAATTGGTTCCTAGTTTTAGAGAAACTCAAAAGTGACATGAATTGACTTTTAAAAAAATTTTTTTTTTTGAATAAGTGTTGAAAACCATAAAATGATATAATTATTGCGACTTGTATGAAGCTATAGTATAATAGTATAAGACAATAACGGAGGGGAATTTAAGACCAAATGTAATTTTTAGAAAATTGAATTTAGAATTATAGCTGGTATATTTTCGTATTCGTAGTATAAGAAAATAATTATATTCAACAAATAAAATTTATTTTACTATCAATATTTTTAAAAAATTTTAATATTACCTATATTGTTCATATTATTATTTGACTTTGTTAAATTTATGATATAAGAAATATCAACTGATGACTATTAGTTATAATTATATAGCTGCCTAGTACTTATATACAGCGTGATTCTTTTAAGTGGGTACACTAATTATCTTGAAAAGTATTTACTTTTTTCAAAATATTTTTTACATGGTTTCAAGGTACTGATCGTTCTAATAGTTATATGTAAAGCCGGTCCACATGACCTGCAGCATTATAATCACCAATGCTTTCGTGTAAGAATAAAGCGATGCGTGATAAGGATATAATATTGCCTAATAAAATACAAAAATGATGATAATTTCAAGGCAATGATATCATTTCCTTCCGCTATTTGGAATTTTCGTAATTTCCTAAACTTTCAAAATTATAATATTTAAATTGGGCAGATTATARTAAAAAAATATATGGCATCTTTGTCTGATATCGTTCGGAAATGATAACATGTACTAGGCAATTATTTCATTTCCTTCCTCTATTAGGAATCGTCAAAATGTCCTAGAAACTGTTATCATTTCCTAAATGTCAAMATTTYCGGTAACATATACAATTAAAATAATAAATTATTTGAAAATAGATAAATATTTCAAGTTACTTCTATTCATCATAATTGAGGCATTTCTAATTAAATTATTTTTTAGAATAYATTTTTTAATTATTATTGTTATGAAATAATAGTAAGTTGCAATATCATAATTTAATTGTGATGCGCTTTTTTTTAACATGGAATATGGAATGTAAAATTAAAGATGATGAAATCCCTTATTAAGTGTATTGTAAT